ACATGTATGGATAACAGAATAAAAATAGTACATACCACTGTGTGGATCATGACATCATGTAGCCTGGTGGGCAGATGCAGACATTCCCGTCGTCTCTTGCCCTAAAGGTTTGGGCTACCGCAGCAGTGTGAGGACGATCTCTACTAGGCCCTGCCATAGCTCAAGTAGTTACTCGCTGGCTTCTGACCATGGTACCCTGGGTTTAAACCCAATCCATATGAGATTTGTAGTGGAGCAAGTGGANTCACCAAAGCAAGGACGGAAGCCATGCGAGAGATAATGGGCACCAGGCACATGGACATTCCCGTCGTCTCTTGCCCTAAAGGTTTGGGCTACCGCAGCAGTGTGAGGACGATCTCTACTAGGCCCTGCCATAGCTCAAGTAGTTACTCACTGGCTTCTGACCATGGTACCCTGGGTTTAAACCCAATCCATATGAGATTTGTGGTGGAGGAAGTGGAAATTGGGCAGGTTTTCTGAGAGTACGTCAGCTTCCACTTTAAGTACCTTTCCTTACAATGCTCCATTTCTCTCATCTGTTATCCAGGGCCATCTACATTCTATGTACCAAGGGACTCAAGTCACATCGCAACCTAAGAATAAATTAAACCTCTAAAGGTTTCCTAAGCAGAAGTCAGACTGTGTTCATACATTATAGCAACTTTATTTCTGTTTTGCAGAAGGAGATTCAGCAGTTGGTCAACACTCCATCCAGGGACACCGCAAATGAATTGCACATTATGGCCGATGGCAAAGCACTGCAGGCTGAGATCAGTAACCTCCAGAAACAGCTGAAGATGTCCAAAAATGAAGCGGACAAGTTACGAGATACACTGAGCAACAGGTACTGTGTAGCCATTGTATTACGAGTATGGAAGAATTTCATTCCACTTATGATTCTGCACCCCTCAGGTTGTCCACAGTTATTACAAATGTAAATCTCTTACTGTTGACACAACCTATCAAGCAATGAACAGTCGAGATACTGCATAGATGTGAGGATAATATTAAGATGGATCCAGGTGAAATAAAGTATGTGTGGACCAAAGTGAATTCTAAAACAACATATTAGCCACATTCAATTTCAAGAAGATAGACATAATTATACTGTGTATGAGGTCATACAGATCATTAGTGCATTTGATTATCTGTTAGGATAATCACAATCACCAAAGCTAAGAAGGCCCAACAGGAACCCTGAAATGATGACTAATGGAGCCTCAGTACAGCTGTGACAAGCCCAGCAACTTTTAAAAGTAGATATGATGGTAACAGTAAACTTAATAACTTCATCATGAACTTAATTTTTATTTGTTATTGTTTGAACCTCTGCAGAAGGAAGCGTGACATGTGGGGTTACAGGTAACAAAGATATCTAAAACTTGTGTATGAAATGTCTGTAAGTTCGCTGACAGAAACAGGAAATATCCATACATTTGGGGTTACATCCAACAACATTCAAGTGCTGAAACTATACACCACGGAAAATGCGCACAGACATTTGGTTGCATTATGGTAGTACTTTCTTCAAGCACTTTTTGTTCCCTGGATATTTCACTGCCTTACATATAGAAACTTCTGAAACCAGACACGTGCTCTCAGTGTGTTTGTTGTGCAGGCTGAAGATGTCCTTAAAGAGAGAAGCGTCAATAGAGAGGAAAGCCGTGGCTCAGGAGGAGATCTTGCAGAAGAAAGTGACACAGCTACAAGACCAGTTGCAAGAGGCCAAACAGAAGCATGACACAGAGAAATCTGACAGTGAAGCACGCAGAGTCAAAGTAGGTCCCACTAAACTTTGACAGATTTTTGTTAAAGAACCTTGATTTTAGTGTGTGGACTGGCTACATCTGGGGCCAGAGGACCAGTGGTGGCCTCTTGTGAACATGGTGATCAGTGTCCAGGTTCTGAAAGATTGAGAATTTCTTGACCAGCTGAGCAACTGTCAGCTTCTCAAGGAGGACTCTGCTCTGTGAAGTTAGTTAATTTTTTTGCCGTGGAATGTGTAAACACAAAATTGTTACAAAAACACTGCCCATATTTTAGAGTGTTTGAAATAGTGAAAGCATCATTATAAGGAAGCAGAAACATTTTGTTATGTTTCCTGGTTAGTCTCACTGACAAGTGGCAGTCACTCTGTCAGTAATAGATCACTTGCGGACTACAGGCCACAGAGGTCCCCACCCCCACAGTCAGTCGGGTGATACAAACAAATCCTTCAGATTGTAGCACCTTTTGGGCCAGAGACCCACCTCCCACAAAGGGTCCCTTGCGCCATAACCCAGAAGTGCCTCAGAGGAACAATAGTGGAATGATGATTTGCAGGGTATAACTGAGGAACTCGAAAGTCCCACTCCTGCCACTTTGCCCATCACGAACCTCAGGTGAGATCATGCAGGATTGAACCTGAGCACCATGATGGGAAGGCAGTGCCTGGCTGCCTGAGTTACGACACAGCCTCCTTGTTACTTTATTCACTTTGTGTGTTCAGTCAAATATTAAATTAATGTGAACATATAATGGTGACCATTTCAGTCTGCGGAGGAAGTAGCGAGGTGGGATGAACGAAAGCGATGGCAGCAGACAGTCGAGAAGCAGAAACAGAAACTGAAGGAGAAATCTGCAGAAGTTGAGAAGTTGAACTCAACTCTGAGTAGCTTCAGGGAAACCATCAGCAGGCTGGAGCGGGAGAAAATCGTTCTGGACAACCGTCTGAGAGCGGGCAGAAGCGGGCGTANCACTTACGCACCGACATCCGTGTGCTTCACCGACCCTTTAAATAATCGTATGCCACCGACATCTGTGCAGTTCACCGACCTGCGCAGTGTTAGCTTTGAAGGACGTTGCTGACAAAACGAGGAAAGATATTCCAATTTTCTTTTCAGGAGTACATAGATTAGGGTTTCATCTTTCTATTGGTATATGAGTTATTTATTTTGGACGAATTTTTAGCNGAATTGCATGGTGTGGGGTTTTGGTTTGTATTGCTCCCCTGTTAGATTGATTAATCAGGGAGGTGATGACCAGAATATGTAGCATGCATGAGGAAACAACCGTCATTGTAAAAGCTTTAAGGAAGAGACCAGAGAAGGAGATGTAGCTGTGGACATGTGAAGTCCCTCTTCTTAATTAAGCAATACATCATTGAGTATGATTTGAGTATACCTCCATGTATTCTTAACCTTGGCACAGATGCAACCAAGCACTCGGCTTCATATTCCTGCTGCTTTACCCCTGGGGTGATAGCCAGGGTGGGGCCTGGGTGTGCTGGTATAATGGTTGTCTCTTCCAGGAACTGAATATTGGTTATATGAGGATAAGTCAATAAGTAAGTTACAAATGAATATAGAACTTAAACAAATAAGAGTACTGATTTGAAAATTGCTTTTATTTCTCAGCATAATCTCCCTGTACATTGAGGCACTTGTCCCATCATTTTACAAGCCCCTGAAAACCAGCAGCATAAAATTCTTTGGGCTGCTTTCGGAACCAGGTGGTGACTTCCCTTCCTACAGCTTCATTGTCGGGAAAATGTTCAGCTGAAAGATGATGTTTAAGAGGGCCGAACAAATGGAAGTCTCTTGGAGCAAGGTCAGGGCTATACATAGGATGCTCGAGGACTGCCCACTTGAAATTTCACAGCGTGCCATTTGTCTTGTTGGCAGTATGGGGACACACATCATGTAAGAGCAACATGCCTGCTGTTTTTCAGGGGCTTGTTAAACAATGGGACAAGTGCCTCAATGTACAGGGAGATTATGTTGAGAAATAAAAGCATTTTTCAAATCAGTACTCTTATTTAAGTTCTATATCCATTTGTAACTTACTTATTGACTTACCTACATATATCCCATAGCCAGACACTGTACTGGCCAAGTTCTGGCTAGTTATAGATAGGAGGAATTGAGGTGGTGCAAATGTGAACTACAATGAATTGGCTCAGAGNATATAGATAGGAATCTAATATCAAAATGAATCTTAGGGAATTGAGGTGGTGCAAATGTGAACTACAATGAATTGGCTCAGAGGGATTCAAGTTCTATATTAGTGGTGCCGAATCATCCGGTTCTTATTAATCAGAACTTGGTTAGCTGATGATTTCTGGGCATGGTATACTTCTCAGGATATAGGCTTTAATGCATGCGTGACTGTCACTCATTGCGACTTTGACTGCAAAATGTACGCAGATGCACCTGCCTCGGAGGCACGAATCAAGGCTTTGGAGCTGGAGAACAGTAAGCTACAAGTGGAGGTGGCAACACTGCAAAGCAAGTTGGAGATGCAACAGCATCACTCTGGGGGACTTGGGGCTGCCATGTTGCAGGAGAGACTGGAAGCACAACAGCGACACATTGCTGCACTTGAGCTGGCCAAGAAAGTAAGAGTCACACAGCTCTATAAACATCACTAATATATTTTGGACACTACCCACTGTTTTGAGTTTTTCGAACACAGTGTTCTGGAAACTGGGTGCATCCATCATTATGTGTAAGAAAGGAGAGGTTCTTATTTGAGTGAGCCCATTAGGAGCATGGGTCAATCACAGGCCCACATTCCAGAATTTCCAGCCATCATGATAGCCATGTTAACATCTTAGTTGAGAGAAATACCAGAAATGTTCAGTATAGGATTATAAAACCTCCGAGAACCTGACTTTTTGCCATGGTCATATTAAGTTTACTTTCACACTTCATATAAATAATAACTTAAAATAGCCAGTGATGAAATGTAGCCAAATCTTAGCATTCGGTATCACTATGATGCCTTGAGTGCAGTGACGTCAGTAAAATGGCGAGAGCGATTCCTTGAACTGAGGCTGTTAAGTCCTTCCATCTGATTGGCTAAAAGGCCATGCCATAGCTCAGGCGGTTAGTGGCTGGCTTCCCACTGCAGTGGCCCAGGTTCTAGCCCGGGGTCTGGTCATGTGGGATTTGTGGTGGACAAAGTGGCACTGGGGCAGGTTTTTGTCCAAGTACTTCGGTTTCCCATGCCAATCTTCATTCCACCAATTGCTCCACAATCACCCTCACCTATCATCTGGGGCTGGTACAACAGGCCAGAAGTGGCCGCAGTACAAGGGACTTAGTCCCACCCCCACTAGCAATAAAAAAAAAATACTAGGATGTGATGCCACACAGTTTAGTACGGGGGGTACAAATATGTTGGAGGAACCTACTGCTACCATCTTCATCATAGGAGACGCAGCAGATTCTTCCCATACGAGAATCCAAATTAAAGTGGTACCCTGTAGTCTGAATTTGTGATACACAAGCTGTGCTTCTGTCTGCATCCACAGGGAAGTAGCACTGTGACTGAAGAAGTAGAGAAGCTCCAAGAGACAAACGCCATGCTACAGAAAGCCAATCTTCGACTCGAGAGTGAGAACCTGGAACTGCGACTCGATCTAGAGAAATATCGTTCTGATACACCACGACTCAGAGAACAAGTTCAGCACTTGGAGACGTTAGTATCACACTCCACATTTTAGCCTTGTTTCGGAAGAATCATACATTTGTACTGTCATATAATTGAGTGGATATTGTTGGGGTTTTTAAATTGGATGTTGGATTTATTGACCACTTTAACACACAACTCATAATTACACTTAATTATAGTGTCATCATGGATTTTCACGCTCTACCAATCACTCCAGCACATGCTAAGTCTTTTCCAGCCTGCAATGTCTTCACTAGACGTTTCCTGGTAACAGCTTCTAACAATGGCTATTCCTCTCCTTCTGTGCTCAAGTCCTCTGTGACTGGCGGCTCTCTTCCAACTGCTGCTAAGTCTTCGCTTTGTCCTGTCTGTATCTCCTCAGCACAGACCACCATAGAAAACACTGTTTCCAACAGTGCCTCTATTGTTGCATGCAGAATGCTGCTGTGGAAACCTGTTTGTTTGCAGTCGTTGCCTAGAAATGGCTCTACATGCTACATATGTTATTTAGCTGATTTTGGTTTCTCATTTGGGACTAAATACAGATACATACACATGTACACAGAACAGAGTGAATAAAACTCGATTCAGATAGAACAGAAATGCCTGTGGGAGAGCAGAGAAGGATGGAGGAAGCTTCATAATAAGACAACCATGGTGGAAATAAGTGGATACTGAGTTGCACATTTGATGCAGATTAGATTATTCTGCAATAATTGTATGTCCTTGATTTAATTATTACATCCAGATAAGAAATTGTTAAGTTCTTGTCAGGAAGTCAGCTGTATGTTAATAACCATTTCCTCATCTTGATAGAATGTGTGCAACATAAAATGTCTGTCTGATTAAGTTCTGCAAAGATAGACTTGAAGTTCTTACAGCAGTGACTATGAAAAACTGTTTTCTGGGTTACAACACTGTGTAGCCAGTAAAAAGTCAACAGCATTTTGGAAGGACATGACACCTCCATCTTCAGGGACAAAGAGTAAGCAAAGAAGGAAACCAGCATGAAGTAGGCAGCAAGCAGCATGTTACAAAGATTACAGTCTTCTGGTATCTGATGCCATGTAGCCACGTAGAAAGTTACCAGTGTTTCAGAGGAACCTGCTACATCTGTCTTCAGGATAAAAGACTAAGCATTTCCTCCTCAGAACATTTTCATCAGCTTGTCTCCCCCCTCAAAGCGTCAGTTCAAGAAACTCCTACTCCAGAATTAATGACTGCATAAATCTGTCAAATCTCAGGTTATCAAAGGAAAGCCAAGGTCTTGAAGCTTCACAGAATTCTAAGAAAGACAACGAATGCTTCCATCCTTCCCAGCAAGAACTGGCCTAAGTCGCCCACAAGAGTGCAAGAATGGTGTCCACCCTCTTCTGGATTCCCAACATGTGCAAACACATGTTAATCACTCTAATTAATATGAGTATTACTTATAATAATAGCTGGACATGCTGATTGATTACAAACTCCCAGTGCCCTGTTCACAGCCCCACTTCATTCCCTTTTCTCATTTTGTTACATCTGTACCTTTACTTTCCTGCAGCTTAGTCTTCTAACCTCAAGATGGAGGCCGGAGGTTCCTCCAGAGCATTGATAACTGTGACAAGGCTACACAAGACAGTAATCATCATACTGACTGCCATGAGAACTTATGAAGATCATGGGTCTTGTGAGATGAGGCGCATATATTACATTAACTCATTTTGGAGACTGAATATCAAATTGTGTGAGCACCGCTACTTGAAAATGAGCAAGCTGGAATGTACTCTGCTTTCAGGTATGTGTCGCTTCTCAAAACAGAAAATGCTGAACAAAGGGGAGGCCACACTGTGACCAGCACTAGTGATGAAGGGACTGAGGTGAGTCGAGTGCTGGTGACACTATGCGATTTTTCCTTCCAGAAAGAATATTTCAAATACAGAAGATCTGTGAACACCCAAATTTTATAATGTTTTTGGCTGTAACTTAATTGAATTAAAGAAAAAAGGAATTATGTACCCTTCAAAGAAGAACCAGTACATGGAGACCCTTTTTTGTTTCTGATAGTAACTGGATGTTCATTTTAGATACTAATATTCTCAGATGTTATGATTTTATCAAACAAACATGTCCGAATTAAAGTGATCTTACTGAGACTACACATTTTGTTTGTAATATATTTTCTATATAAAGAATATTGTGCAAGTTATTATCACATGTAGTAGTGACTATAGACGGAGTTTGGATTGGCAACTCAGTTTACCAACCACTTTAAAACATGACTTGTGACTACACTTGATTATAGTGCAGTCCACCATTTACAAATCACTAAAACATACAGACTAGTTTTCTCAGTCTGTTATAGTCTCCACTAGTTGTTTCCTGGTTAACAGCTTCTGAGCTCATACCATCGCCAGCTGGCTACCATCTCATAACTGAACTAAGCTCTAAACTTCAGCCCACTTATAACGCCTCGGCACAGACCAACAGAAAGCAAAGCTTTTCTGTTGGAGTTCCTATGTGATGGCTACTCAGCCAGTCCATTGGTGTGCTGGCTGCTGCCTAGCAACAGCTGTCAGCTCATTTGTTTTGTGGTATTTGCCTAGCAATGGGTCTACAAGCTACAATATTGTTCCTTTATGTATTGTAACGTGTTTGGAGTAGATACTTCCATGGTAACACAATAATTTATGAGCCAGGATCAGTCAATATAGGAAAAGACTATGGGCTGGAAGGCTGGGGTTCATTTTCTGGCTGGGGCAAGATTTTATTCTTCACCATGGCATCCAGACCAATCCATCTCCAGGGGTGAAGCTGATCATTCACCTCCATCTAGTGTCAAGGTCAAGAATGGTGGAGCTATAACTCCACTCCCTAATATGTCCTCGTGGCATAGTGCTTAACTGATTAAACACAGAAAACTTTACCTTTACCTCTTTATGGTTTAATGATGCTGTCTGTCACTAGCTCAGATTCTTCAGTCTTCAATAACAGGATGATCATCGAATAATGAATTGGAAAGGATGTGAAAGGAAGCACATAATTTGAGATACTGTCCCACCATTTGTCTGGAAGGACCTAAGAAAATCATGAAGAAACTCAGTCAGAAGAGCTGATATCTGGGCCAACATTTGACAGTGGGGCTTCCTGAATATCAAGCAGGATTGCCAACCACTCAACCACAGCATTCAATAAGATATTAAATATTATATGAACCTTATCTCTTCATATATAATTCAGAGCAAACAGCGTTATTTTCTTGGTGCCCAAACTGAAGTCAGTTGTTGCTTTCCATGCGTTTGATATATATAAATATGATGTCACTTTTGTTCACTATCAGTCCCAGCACAACTCCAAGAAATCGGTGGCCGAGTTGGAGAGGACAGTTGTTGCAATGAAGAGAGTTGTAGAGAAACTGCAGCAAGAGAATAAGCGCCTTCTCTCAGGGAGGAAGGATGCCCTCACTGAGCGCAAGGTACATTCACCACTGCCACAGTATAGAGATTGAAGCACAATACAAAAGTACATTTCAGTAGAATTTCTGTACCACAAAGACCAATTGTTACAGTATCATACCATACTTATATAACCTTTTAACCAAGAATTTGTGTTTGAAAGTGTGATGCATGAAACATATCAATATGTAGGAGTTGACAGTAAGTAAGTAAAAAAAAAGAAAGCTATCCCTGTAACAGGCCGTGAAGGCCCATAGGGTTGTGAGACGCTAAGGGTCCCACATTATCTAGACAGTCGGCTCAAAGATGGTGGTAAGGTTGTCAGCCTTACGTGCTGGCCGCGTTTTACTCCCCAGGAAAATTATTTAATTAATTCTTGGTACTCATTTCTGTTAGAGGCTTAGTGGGGCTGGAAGGATTAGGTCAATTGAAAAAAATCCAGTGACCTCATCAGGACTTGAACCCGCAACCTTCCAGCTTGTAGCTTAGTGCCTCAACCAACTACGCTACAGGAGTTGACAGTAGCTAGTAAAATGTACAGGAGACAGATCTGAGCCTACATGATGTCCATTATCTCACTGAAGCATACAGTTGTGTGGGTCATAACACTGTAGTTTGGAGACATCCATGTGTTCTGGAGGAACACATCACCTCCATCTCAGCTGAGCTTGCTTCCTGCTTGGCACACTATTCAACCCTGATGATGGTGGTGATATGTTCCTCTGAAACACTGGACTCCTTCCAAAGTACATGGTATTACAACTCAGAATACTATACTCCTCACAGTCACCACCATGAAAACCTCAAAACTAGTCTATTACCTCAGTCCACACATCACAGACAAGTTACGTTACAATAGCAGTGGTCCCCAAACCTCAGCAATCCATAGACCCTGCCTTCAAAACTCAGAACTGAACTACCATCTGTCTGTCCTCATACAAGCATGTCCTGTCATTTGAAATGACTCTGATACCTACAACTTTGTTTAACTGGTGTGTTTTCCATTTTCTAAATGATTTATGTGGTCTTCCCTTTGATTTCAGTGTTCTATATGTTTATTTTTATTGATGGCACTGCTTCTGTAGTCTAGTGGTCAGAGTTCCTGGCTACAGATCCAGAGATCCAGGTTCGATTCCTGGTGCTACTAGATTTTTTCTGAGAAATAGTGGTTCTGGAATGGGGTCCATTCAGCCTTGTGAGGATAATTGAGGAGCTGTTTCAAGGAAATAGCGGCTCTGGTCTAGAAAACCGAAATTAATGGCCATAGGGATTTGTTACGCTGACCACGCGACACCTGTATCCACTAAAGTTGGCACTAACTTCGCCGATAGGCAGTGGTTGCTTGGTCGGTATAGTTCACTTGAGGACTAAAACCATGGAGTTTGTTTGTTTGTCATGTTTTTAGGGCTCTGCAGACAAGCTGAGGGCACAATTGCACATGGTGGAGTCTGAGAAGAAGGCACTACAAGAACACTACCTGCAAGCAACAGAGAGAGTGTCTCAGCTTGAGACAGAGCTTGACAAAGCCAACATCCAGATCACGGTGCTGCAGACAGAACACAGTAGGTGTGACAATACACATAGAACGTGTCCCATATGTTGCCATCTTAAGGTCAGGTGTCCTCCCTTACCATTTGTGAAAATATGCCACCCCCTAAACAGCACATGTAAATATTTCCCAAGAGCTACACATTCCTGTCTTGTGGCTGTTTTCAGAAGACCGCATACACTCTGATACGAATGAACTGCAGTTGGTGAAAGCTCAGTTGGTTCACAAGAACCAGCTACTCAGTAAGGTAAAAACGTTACTACAACGAGCAGCTGCAAAGGAGAAGATGCTTCAAGAGAAGGTAAGGCCCCAGATGCATTCAGAGAACAGTCCATCATGAGCCTTGGGATCCCTAACTGAAGTTATAGTTTTGACCAGAGAAATACTGTTCTCTGCTCTCTCCATCCTTCCTACCTCATCTTCCCATGCAACTGACAGAGTATCACTGAACAGAGAACCCTACAAGACAATCCACTGCCTACTTCAGAAAAAAAAAACATTATATGCAACCCTGTGCTTTGACGAGCACCAGATGAAACGACAGGCAATAGAGACTGAAGCCCAAAAGGGATAACAAATCTCTAGCGTGCTAATGCTGACAGCTGTGTTTGGGCTCAGTTCTGAGAACGGACTTGAGAGGAATGTAATGATCTAGCAAGGGAGGAGCAGTACAACACTGTGGCTGAGTGTTGCATCTTATTCAACACTAATACGATGACCCCACAGTTACAATGACCTCTAGCCGTGTAGAACCCAGAGATTTAAAATCCACAATTTTCAGGTACTCAACTGTAAACTCCCTCCCCATAAATTAAAATATGGCTTGATTCCCTATTCCCAGACAGTAAAGTGTAATGTTAACTGTTTCACTTCAAATTTACAGGTAACAGCCCTGCAGCAGCTCCTTCCTGCAACACCCCGTAGTGACAGGGACATATGAACCCTGGATTTCTATGCTGGCACACAGGAATCTCAGTATTTATTTTTACAAATTTCAAACAAACCTTTCTTTGTAATTCTGTGATGTAGTGCAATGTGTTGTATCAAATGTAATTTATTATTTTTGATCTCATGTTATTAAAATATGCAAATAAATATGTCACTTAGTGATAACTTACACATTTGTATGACATCTACATTCTAAGGGGTTGTGACGATGGTGAGTAACACCTGGAATTACTGGGTTTTGGACTTTGTCCATTAGAAAGAGCTAACCTCAATCACTGGACCAGTGACTGAGGGTAGCTCTTTCTAATGGACCCAACAGAGTAGGTGTTTCCCATCACCTCACCTGAAGATGGAAACAGATTCAGTTTCCAAAATATTGTGTTCTGTAGTGTTTTTTAGAACACCAGACAATGGACAAAATCCAGAAACCCAGTAATACTGAAGTTATGACATCTTTATCCTGTCTTTATGTATTTATCAGACTGTAAGAGAACACACATTCTAGGATATCTGCCCCCAAATTAGAGGCAATAAAATGAAAGGAAGATATAATTTGGCATTCCAAAACATTTCTGAAACACCTTGAATACACAATAAATGAAACTAGAAGTTTATACAAAGTTCAGGTTAGAAAATCCAATAGAGATTGCTTGGAGACCTAGGCAACAGATGACAGATCTTAGAAGATTAAGCTGGGAGTTTAAAGTGGCTGGCTCCTGACAGGGCACAATTAGAGCTTTTTACAAACAAAATGGTGAACCATCAAGTTCAATAATAATGTCCATGGAGCAGACTTCATGATAAAGTACAGTAAAATCGAATATCTCTAGAACTATTCTAATTAGTTATGCTGAACATGGCATAAGCATAATGGCCAATAAAGTGACTGGGATTCGAAGCCCAACGAGTGAAAAGATTTTTGTCTTTGCTACCATGCCCCAAGAGGCTCTGGGAACCATCCAGACCCCTATCCCATAGATACTGGGGGTTAGGTAAAGGTAAGGCAGACCTATCCCTGTAACAAGCCATGGAGGCCCATAGGATTGTGAGACATTGAGGGTTCCACATTTTCTAAGCAATCAGCTCACAGATGGCAGTGAGGTTGTCAGCCTTACGTGTCGGCTACCCTCTGGCCCCAGGAATATTCCTGGTACTCATTTCTGTTGGAGGCTGATTCGACCCCAGGGCCATAGCACGGCTGGAAGGGTTAGGTCAATTGAAAAATCCGATGTTCTCGAACCTGCAACCTTCTGACTTGTAGCATAGTGCCTCAACCAACTATGCTACTGCATGCCCCCTTTCTCTGGGCATAAAGTGATCTAAACTTCAGAAAACGCCCCTCTATCTAGTGCCATGCAGCTTTACCTCCACTCCCCCCACACATGCTTATGTCATGACTTTAAGAACAGGAAGAATATTTTACTTTTAGAACCCTGTCTAACCTGAATTCTTGATTTTGTTACAAAAACCAATACTAATTATTTGTTATTTTGGTTTATTTAATGCATATCAATAACTGTCCATGTAGTGTCAAATTATCAGATGAGAGTAGCAAATAATGAACTGCAATCATGGCCTGTTTAAAGTACAGGTACTTCTCATCACATGCAAAGCTTAAGAAATTTGATTTCGGTTTAATATGATCAACTAATTTAGACCACTTTCAATTGGTACCCCCACTTTAATGCGAAATGCTTGCTGCCCAATTGAGGCAGAAATATATTACTGGGTGGGTGTGAGGGGGTGGGGGACGAATGTGAAGAGTTTATTTTAGGAACCCAACTATTCCATAAATCGAGGAACACCTACGAACACAGCCTTTCCCCAGAGAGACTGAGGAAAGCCAGGAGAAACCTCAATCAGCACAATTAGTGTCCTGGCCAAGATGTGGACCAAAGCTATCCCTGTAACAGGCTGTGGGGGCCCATAGTGTTGTGAGACGTTGAAGCTCCCACATTTTCTAGACAATTGGCTCACAGATGGCGGTGAGGGTGTCAACCTTACCACCAGCCACCTTTACCCCCAGGCAGATTACTGGTACTCATTTCTGTTAGAGACTGAGTCAACCCCAGGGCCATAGTATGACTGGAAAGATTAGGGAAACTCATAAAATCAATGGCTTCATCAGGAATTGAACCCACGACCTTCCGGCTTGTAGGAAGATTTGGACCAAGCATACCTCAAATACAAGTCAGAAGGGTCACTGCTTCAGCCAACTTGTTCAATTTCATCTATTTAATTTTTAGTGACTTACAGTTCTTTCGAACATAAACCATTCCGATGCAACAGATCACTGTAGCGTATAGATATGAGAAACGAATCCATAATGCAGTGATGTCTCATAGACGAATGTAAGATTGAGATACTATCAGCTTCTAAAAATACAGAGTGCTGCATGAAGAAAGGGAGCCCAAGGGAAATACATAACAAGATTCTCTGCACTGTGAAAGCATAAGCAGTAACACGTCTTCATGGTTGATATATAACATGGGCAGCATAGCATATGTTTAACATTTAAATAAGCAAAAAAGATAAGACAAGTAATGGGTCAATATGATACAAAACATCAATTCAAGTGAATAGAACAAGCCTACTATATAGCCAAGTATGAACAAATCAAAATTAGCATAAAATTCGTTCACACAACTGAAGTATTTTACCCAGATAGAACACATTAAAACAATAACTTCATAAGATGCAGAAAGCTATTTGGTAATTTTAAAACTCATTACACATCACGAGAAGGCAAGCACATTTCAGAAATGTATCATTCTTCAACACACATAACCTGAAATTCACTATTTCGATTCATTTGCATGCCTGGAATGTAACAACCTGAATAAATGTACTCACAGGTAAATGGTAAATCTGGTCTCATTCTACTGACTATCGGCCACTAATAGTACATCATTCCATACTAGTAAGAAAATTGTATTCACTTTTGAATTGTAATATTTCGTGTCTTGTATATTGCACTCACCAAAGTTGCTTCCGAATGTTAGTGACGTTAATTTGACGTTTTCTGCGAAGAATTTTTATCAGATGAACGGTTTTAACGCCTTTAGTAACTTGATATTCCTGGAGTTCTACTTCTGGGTTATGTGACCTCTTTTCCTCATCCATGTTTCAGCGTAGCTGTGGGGACGACTTGCCCTCTCCTTCACATTTTCATTCACATGCCTCAAACACGGACATTTTACCAACTGCACGTGCTTGTACTTTCGAAAGACGTAATTCAAGTAGGGAATCCTGATTGGTTTAGCGTCACGAATTCGACAGTCAAAATGCTCTCCGGATTGGTGAAACGTCAAGCCCACACTCGAACATCAGTCAATCCGAGATCTGAGACCATCCGTGACGTTTAAAACATTTTTTTTTATTGGACGCTTAATAAATGGCGTGATGTTTTACTTAATGACCTTAATGACGGCCTTCGAATATAACTGCACAAGATCCAGACTGTTACCCATAGTCGTTTAGTTACATTCCAAACACTCGTTCTAGATACATACACTTTATAAGTACACCAGTTGTCTACTCTAATGAAATTCCATTGTATCAAATTCTTCGACACTTTTTCATACAAAAAATTGCGATGATATATACAGAGGGGAAAAAATATGCAGTGGAGTTTGTTACACACGAATAACAATTCGTAACAACAGCTTTTGCGTAGTAGCGGCTGAGGTTAACCCTTCGACGTGGTATTCCCTATTGAGTCTACGTGCAAGTTACAAATAGTCCAGCTTCCATGAGACCAGTCAGTTTTGAGTTCTTGAGCAGAAGAAAGTTCGCATCCGGCCATTTTCGCATGGCGGGTCGTCCCTCTGCGTGCGACGGCATCCATCCTGTTTCTGGGCCTGTTTCTTCTTTCGACGGTATCGGTCCCTACGCCTCTTCTTCGGTCCTCCGACCGGCATCATTTCGGCGTCTTCTTTAGGGATATCTCCCTGTTGTGCCACCTCAGGTTTCCTACCCTAGGTCGGCTGTTTTTCTTCCGGACGTGCCTCCGTCGTTTCTCGGCAGACCATCGTCTCTTCATGTTTTTCGGTTTCGATTTCGGCCACCACCTCTTTGTGGCTGGTGTCCATCTTTTGTCTCGCATCGCTTTCGTCCCTGCTTCGATGGCTTTCGTTTCTGCTGCCATCTTACCTCGACAGGCTTTTCTATCGGCGTCCGCCTTTGCCTGGTTGGCCAGAAGCTGTCGCATCATCTGCTCAAGGTTCGTCATGTCCATGATGTGACGCTTTCCTTCTGATCTGTGTGGTGTTGTACTTGCTCTCTCGTTTTCAGAATCCGATACGTACCAATTCTAACACCAGTTGACACGTGGTGCTGCTTGCTATGGAGCCTATCGATCCCGCTTCTGAAACACCAGTTGTCGCGTGTTTGCTAGGCAACGCGACAAGAAATTCTGTGGGTTTCGGATTTGAACGAATATTTATTGGCCAATCTCTTCTACGCTCGCAAGTACATTCATTCACAACTTCACTGTTACAGTTACTTGCACCGCTGTTCTCGGTGAAATCTTCTCGGTATCTCTTTGTCGGATGCGCGCTTGCTTATGCTCTGGTCGGAACTACACTAAGAACTCAAGACTGACTGGTCCAAGTCCAAGTCACATTGCGACTGACGGTCAGTCGGTCAGTCAGTCAGTCAGTAAGTCTTGGTGTCGAGCCCATCTGGGCACATGACCAGATATTTATTACTGTTTGGCATTTACGGTCTTGTTTTTGTGGGGCGCCCTCTTTGACGAGAGGACGGGTCTGCCTTTTGTATATGCTGCTGGCCCTTGCCAGTGCAGTATTTCTCTGGGTCTGAGTCCCTTAGGACTCGGGACCATATTTTACTGTCTCAGATTTGAGACTTCCCTTTTCGTCGCCTCCTACGACTCGCAGGGTCACGGTGGAGGTATTCGGCCCCTCCTCCACACGGGGATGTCACTGACTGGTCTCATCGATGCTGGACTTTTATAACATGCACGCAGACTCAACGGAGAATACCATGTCAAAAGGTTAACCCTGGCCGCTGCTGTCGAAACGCTGCTTCCAACAATTGGTAACGGTGGAAACTCCACTGTTAGGAATTGCTAGCGTTCCGATTGTAGCGTTGTAGCGGGAACGTCGCTCGTTGCCTAGGAAATCACCATGATCACCTCAACCATTCCGGGTTCCTGGCGCCGCGCCACAATATATATATATATACTGTATCACGAGACAGTAATTTACACAGACACTGGACTTGAACTGTTATGTCACTAAGTAGACACAAATTGTAAAACGTTAAGGGAAACTTATATGTGTTAATGGAAGAAATATCCCATGGCGCAGAATCTTCTTGAAAAACTAACAATTGCTCAGCTGGTATAAAAGTTCTGAGTCACTAAACCCTATTAGCACATCCCTGCTACGAATCGTTTGATAGAACCCTCACATCTACACCTAGGTCTCGCAATTGGTCTAAATTATGGCCTATGCTTTTTTGGGGGCATTTATAAAATGTTATTTCGCAAGAGAATGCATACTTGATGCCTTCCAGCTCCAAGATCGGTCGGGTGGATGGTATAGTACGCCTACGCCTTTCAGACGTAAACAACTACATCATGAACAAGACCTTGTAGTCTCTATCGCGTGCCGTTGATTGCTCGTGAGGGAGGGGCTATAAAATCGATCGCTCGTTATAAATAAACGCGCCCTTGCCTCGTTCTTACACGCAAAGACAGAGCTGTTGTCGTGCTATGCCATTAGTGAACTTAAAATTGGGCGCAGGAGGCTCTGTAGGGGGAGGTGTACGTTCTGTCTTCGTAATGCTAATTTTATAAAATATATACGCATATTTCTTGGCAACCATGAGCTCTATATGTGTGAAATTTATGGGAGGTCCTCTATATCTCTCGACTTATTGTTTAGTAAGAATTAGTCGTAAATATACTTTTTAATGATTTTCTCCTAAAAGGCCATTTGAACCACGAGTACGCAGATAGGGTGATAAGAATGACCATGCGAACCACCACCACGTTTGGTGATATCGCTGAGAGCATAAGACGTTCGTCCCGCACAATTCTTTTTTTATTTTTTCTCATGATGTGAGACTAAGGCTACCTGATACTGCGGCCACTGTTTGTCCTATTGTACCAGTCACAGATGATAGCTGATGACTGTGGAGCAATTGATGGAATGAAGAGCGGAGAAAACCTGCCCCAGTGCCACTTTGTCCACCACAAATCCCAAATTACCTGACCCGGGCTCGAATCCGGGCCGCCGCGGTGGGAAGCCGGCGACTAGCCGCCTGAGGGGCTTGAGCTATGGAACGGTCAACTATGGAGGCTAAAACTAAGAAAAATAAAGACACACTTGTATTAATTGTTTACTAACATGACGCAGTTCTTTTAGAATGTCTAGAAATACGGTCCAAGAAGACAGTTTTGCAAATAATATTGTCATGTGTCTGAGTATGACTATAGACGGGTTTGGATTGGTGACTGGATTTATTGACCACTTACAGAGGTAACTACAAGTAATTATGGCGCCATAGCTAACCTCCAACATTTACAAATCACTAGAGCACACGCCAAATCATATCAGTCTGCTTTAACTGGTTGTTTCCCGGTTACGGATCTTAACAATGGAGATTCTTCAGCTTCTATGTTCACGTCGTTGACCGCTGGATAATACAACTGACTCTTTGCTCCAGTTTTCCTGCTTATATCCTCTCGGCACGGACCACGTAAAAACACCGTTCCTCTGTTGTAGTTCAATTGTTGCTTATTAAGAATCTGTCGTCTAGCAGCGGGCGTTATTTCGTTGTTTGTTTCGTGGTCGCTACGTAGCAACGGGTCTCTACATGTTACATTATCTTTTATTTTCTAGCTATTATTTAATATCCAGCCACAGCACCTCCCCACCGCGTAATTATACAGAGTGATTCCTTTAAAGAAGAACCAACTGCTGGAAATGTTGATAACATCACGTGATACTTGGCTGGGGCCATGTCTTGTGCGCAGTACGATGATTGTTTTAGCGAGAACTTTATTCTGAGTAAGGGGTGTACAGAGGGCCGCGCCATAGCTCAAGCGGTTAGTCGCTGACTACTGTCGCTGGTACAATAGGCCAGAAGTGGCCGTGGTACAAGGGACTTAGGGGTGTACAGTACATTTCTGAAAGTGTGCTGCATACCTAACGGGGCGCGACTGACTGCAGGGCCGTGGGACTCATACTGGATATGGCTTTCAGTTCATCCAGATTGCGTGGGTTACTGCGGAAGATACTGTCTTTACAAGAGCTCCACAGAAAAAAACAAAGCTAGTGGTAATAAATCGGACGAAAGAGGGGGAATAGCTCACTGAACGCCATGTTGCTCACTGCTTGCACTGTGTACTGAGTGTATCAGCGTCGCAAAGGGGTCCACTCCCTCTAATACATAACGTCATTAACATTCTGAACATTGGGTTATCGTTTTAAGAAGTTATCCTGCAATTTAATATCTATCCAAGGCCCGTGCCATAGTTCAGGCTGTTAGTCGCTGGCTTCCCACCGTAGTGGCCCGGGTTCGAGCCCAGGTCAGTCATGTGCGTTTTGTGGTGGACCAAGTGGCACTGGGGCAGGTTTTCTTCGAGTACTTCGGCTTTCCCTGTCAATTCTCATTCCACCGACTGCTCCACACTCATCACGTAACATCAGGGGCTGGTACAATTTGCCAAATAGTGGTCGATGTACCAAGTGGACGCAGTCTCAACCCACCCCACGTAACTAACTACAATTAACCACTGTCTATCTACAGTGTAATACCAGAAACATCATAGTTATCGTCTACAAATATAATAATAATCCGTAACTTAGGTTAGTATTAATGTATTCACACATACCATATAAATCTGAGATAATAAGAAGTCTGTCATATCCCAAAGTTAATAATATCTTTTCAGTCTATCTAACCGAGTCAATTAGTTAAAAAAAAGACGTTTCAGGGACTGTCTCTATCCCCATCATGAGGGGACGCTTAATTAACTTCGGCCACTGCAAAAGTTTAATTTGTACCACTGTTATTATGCTCAATATTTCTAACCTTTTACTTGAATCACCCTGTATATACTCATAACAGTATGTATAATAATGCTAACTACGCAATTTCCCATTCTCAGTGTCACTACCGCTCACTACCGCCACAAAAGCAGTATGACCACACGATCAAATAGTAATTGCCCACAGTCCAAATTAACCACATCAATTAACTCGAGTCGTGATGTCAATGTGCAAATTACACAACGTCACAGGCGAGCAGCCCCCATGATTTTCAGTATCAATCATGTCTCTAACAACTTCCTTCATGTATAACTTAACGATGCTGTACCGAGTGCTGAGGTTAACCAACAGTGAATTATATGTGAGTTCATGGTGGCTGATAAATTGAAAGCGTAAAGGTCCAAAGGTTCAATACCTAAGGCATGGCAAGAATAAATTTCCTGAATTTTTGAGCAACAAATCTTGGAAATAACATGAACTGGGTTAAGAATGATCAATCTTAAATTTCATTGGAAAGCGTTATTGTATGTAACATTTAAGTTTCTCTCAGAAGTGGTTGAAAAATTCCGTTTTCTGGGATATAAAGCTGCGTGAACGTTTCGGAAGGATATGTCGTTTCCATCTTCAGGGTTGAAGAGTAAGCTAAGTAAGAAACGAGAATGTAGCAGAGCTTGCTACCTGCTTTATGCTGGTCCCTTTCTTGCTTAGTCTTCAACCCTGAAGATGGAATCGACATGTTCTCCTGAAATGTCAACTGAATTTCAACTAACTACATAGCATTATATGCCACAATACAGAACACATCTTAGTACATGTAATTACATGTAATTGCCATGGGATGAAATGGATAATTTTTGACTGGATATGGATTTCATCTTTTATTCTTGTGTGTCCTCAGTATATTTCCTTAAAATTATTCATTTTAATTGATCATTCTGTGTTATTTCGACAGCATTTGTCTTAATTTTCAAAACACATATTTCTCTATGAACACAAGAAATAGATAATTATGAATAATTTAAACATTACGATGAACTTGTGTGAGGCCATATGTGCCCCTCAGTTCGGTTCTGTGTCCANGGATTATATTTAGCTTCAGCTTTTATTCTTGTGTGTCCTCAGTATATTTCCTTCAAATTATTCATTTTAATTGATCATTCTGTGTTATTTCGACAGCATTTGTCTTAATTTTCAAAACACATATTTCTCTATGAACACAAGAAATAGATAATTATGAATAATTTAAACATTACGATGAACTTGTGTGAGGCCATATGTGCCCCTCAGTTCGGTTCTGTGTCCAAGTGACCGTGACAGCCGCGGTACAGCACGCTGCAGTCCACACCGGCCAGTCCGGCAGCACCAGCATCTGCAACCAGCCTTGCCCATCCAGCATCCACAGATTTGGCCACCAGATGACTATAATCACAGACATAAGTTGGCAGCGTTTGATCAAGAGTGACCAAGAGTATAACTCACCAGCCACCAACTGACTAACAGGCTGACAGAAAGATTAACTCACAACATGACTGATTCATCGGCTGCCAGAATAACAGAGAGAGCACTTGACAAAATGACTATATCACTCAGTAAGTGTCTGAAAGAATAAATAACCAAAAGACCGAATAGATGACCGACTATGTAAGAGAGTGTAATTACTAAAAAATAGACTTAACAATTTTGTATGCGGCCTCCGTAGTCTAGGGTTAATGTTCCCAGATCATGAATCAAGGTACGCGGGTTCAAACCCGGCAGAGGTCGTGGAATTTTTAAGGGAACAAGTCCTCCGGGAGG